GGCACTGGTTTTAACACCCCTAAGGGGAGCCGCCAGGAGTGTTTGCACTGGCCCGTTCGAGGCCATTTTGTGGGAATGTATCAGGCGGTTTGCTTGTTTTCATGCTCACCATCTTCTGCTTTCAGAGCAGATTGTGAGGATGTCTGAGGCGGGGCGCTGGTTTCAGCACCCCTAAGGGGAGCCGCCAGGAGTGTTTGCACTGGCCCGTTCGCGGCCATTTTGTGGGGATGTCTCAGGCGGTGTGATCGCTTTCATGCTCAACATCCTTGGTTTTCATATGAGGTTTTGAGGATGTCTCAGGCGGGGCGCTGGTTTCAGCACCCCTAAGAGGAGCCGCCAGGGCTGTTTTCACGGGCCCGTTCGCGGTCATTTTGTGGGAATGTCTCAGGCGGTTTGTTTGTTGTCATGCTCAACATCCTTCGCTGGGAGAGCAGATTGTGAGGATGTCTCAGGCGGGGCGCTGGTTTCAGCATCCGCTCCGGCACGTGCCCTCGCGCTCTGGTGGGGCGGGCGGTTTTCTCTCGCGCGGGTGCTCCTTTTGGAAGTGCGGTCCTGTCTCGTCTGTCTGTCTGTTCGTCCGTTCGTCCGTCTGGAGGGGGTGCTCCAGCCCGGGAGGGCGATCGGGCAGCCCCCAAAGCGGCGCAACGCCGCAATGTGTAGCGCTTTCCACTGGGCGCGAGGCGGATAGCTGTCTGTAGCCCGCGCCTCTATGATGCCCTCTGCAGGCCTGGATGGTGCATTCAGGTCGCAGAGGAGGATAGGGGGCTGGGGGTCTTTTGTTCTTTTCCTAAACAGCACCTCGCCTTCAGCGCCGTGTCACGTCGGCTGTGTGCTCTCGCTCGCGGCCACCGGTCGTCTCTGTGTCTGTGTGTTTCTGCAGTGTTGGCTGGCCGGTCGCACCTAGGTCCCTTTCTGCCGCTGCTCCTCGTCGTCACATTGGCCGGGTGTTCGGCGCCCTCATCGCCACAAGTTGGGCCTCAGTTTTCGCAGCCACGCGCGGGGAGCGCAGGTTGCGTGGGAGTAGGACACGGGCCCGTTCGCGGCCATTTTGCGGGGATGTCTCAGGCGGTTTGATCGTTTTCATGGTGCGAGGACGGAGATGAGGCGTGCTGCTCCGTTGGGTCGTGCTGCCACCTATCCTAAAACAAATGCGCACTACCACAGGCTGAGGAGGGCACGGCCTGGCAGCTGAGGAAGGGGAATGAATCGGAGGCTCATATTCAATCATACGCAAAACTCCCACTGACTCATACCCACTTACTCGCATTAGGATTCACTCGTCTTCGTCGGCCCCGTCGCCCATGTGGACGCGCTATTATAGTCAAGCGCTCATGAACAGACGCTCACTATAGCAGCACTTGGCATTCGACCATGCCTCAACGCGCCAGGGGGCAAGGTGTCGGATCAATACACGCGAAACAACCTCCAGGCAAAGGGGTAGTTTTTTTTTGTTTTTTTTTTTGGGGGGGGGGGGGCGCGCATTGAAAAAAACATCAGTTCGTCGGATGTCTGGGTCCTCTGTCCCTGGTTCCGTGTATCAGAAGTACGGTGGCTGAAACGGGCATCGTTGTGTTTTGCGGCAGGGGGCGAAGGAGATATCCATGGAGTCGCGCCTTGGTATACTGACCGCGAGGGCATCGGTATGTGTATGTTCGCCGCTGGGGGGGAGTCTAGCGACTGCATCTTCGCAACCGCTCGTGGGCGGGAAGCACATCAATCTCCACGGCCTCGCGGGCCGTTCCCTCTCCCGCGACCGCATGGATACGGGGCGTTTTGCGCGGACGCACCGAGCGGAGCGTGTCCACAGGATTTCGTATCCATGGGTTCGCGCCCCAGTATCCAGTATCCAGTTTGCGAGGGTCGGTGGAACGCGCCGCATCGACGATGCTTCGGCGATGCGGCGCGATCCTCCGCCCCCAACCATTCGGACTCCGTCTGGGAAGCCTCCAGTACCCATCGGTCGTTGAAAGTAGGTGTTCTCGAAGTCGCAGGTGATTCCGATTTACTTTAAGCGCCTCCCTACTTAAATGATTGAGTTGTTTCACCTTTTTTCCTGTCCTCTGTAGGGTGCGGGCGGACACCCAATCTACTTTCAACGCCTTCCGACTTCATGTTTCTACCTACGTCTTCCGACCGATGGGTACGTATGTCGCTCCTGGAACTCCCGCGGCTGCACTTTCGCAGCCGTGGCCGCGGCGCGATGGCGATGGCGCTGCAGCTCGCCGCGGCGATCCTCGCCGCCGCTGCCGCCGCCACTGCGGCCCCCCCGCTGTCGTCGTCGTTGTCGTCGTCGTCCTTGTCGTCGTCGTCGCCGTCGTCGTCGCCGTCGCCGTCGTCGTCGTCGCCGTCGTCGTCGCCGTCGTCGCCGTCGTTGTCGTCGTCGCCTTCCGCGCCGAGGCCTCCGCTGTCGCTCGGGCCCGCGAGCGCGTCGCGCGTCGGCGTGGCGCTGCAGATCGCCGCCGGCGCCAGCGCGGGCGAGAGCCTCCCTTTGCAGGAAGTGGTCCTCCCGGGCGGGGCGTCGGCGTCGGCCTCGGCGGCGGCGGCGGCGGCGCCGCCGTCGTCGTCGCTGGCGCCACCGTCGCCGACGTCGTCGTCACCGCCGCCGTAGCTGCCGCCGCCACCGCCTTCGTCGTCGTGGTCGTGGTCATGGTCGTCGTCGTCGTCGTCGTCGTCGTCGTCGTCGTCGTCGTCGTCGTCGTCGTCGTCGTCGTCGTCGTCGTCGTCGTCGTCGTCGTCGTCTTTGTTCGCCATGAAGCAAGCGGGTCCTCACTGGCACGGGCCCCAGAGGTTTTCCGCTGCTTTTCCAGGCGCAACGGGCACTCCGCAGGCCTTTGTACCGTGGATCGGCGGCGAGCGAGGGGGGAAGTGAGAAGCGGGGCTGGACCTCAGCAGTGTTTTTCGTTTTCGTTTTGTGTTCGTTTCCCCTCGTTTTGTCTTGAATTCGCCTTCGCTGCAAAACGACATCGAAACGAAAACGGCCCACGAAATCGCCAAAACACCGTTCAGGTCCACCCCTGGTGAGAAGGAAAAGGCCCTCCTAGAATGCGGCGGGACTTCTCAGAGGCCATTGCGCCTCCTGAGAGGTTTTCTGGCGTCTTCGGAGAAGGCTCAGAAAGCTTCTCAGAAGGCAAGGGGGACTTGGGACCTCCGAGAGCCTTCTGAGCAGTCCCGCCCCTTCTCACTTCCCCCCCGCGCTCGCCGCCAAGTCGAAGAGTGGCTGAGGATGAAGAGTGGGTCCCCCAGGGGAAATCCCCGGGGCCCAGGGCCTCCCCGCTGCAGGAAGCGCCCCCCCCCGCCCCCCCGTGGCCCCACCCCCTGGGGAGGCGGGGCGTCGGCGCCGCCGCAGTCCAGTCGTCGTTTTTATGGCTAGGGCTACATCGGGCGTGTCCTTACAACAGGAGGAATATTAGAGAACAGTAGAAAATAGTCTGAGGACGACGGTTCGTGCCCATTTTGACAAGGTTCGATTCTTTCTTGACTACTTAAGCAGCAGCGAAGACCACGGCTGGGAGTAGGAAGCGATACAGTCTGGCCGAGGTATAATATCGAGGTAGGTTCGGGGAGGGTACCTTAACGTTCTGCGTGTTTGTTCGATGGTATTGTGCAAGCTGTGGAGGGTAGCCTTAGATATTCTGCCTGTTTTTGCAAACAGAGGGTCTTATGCTCTTGAGGGGTGTGCTTTTGGCGTAGTTCCGACTGTATTCCAAATGTCGTAAAAAAAGGGGGGTCACGTACCTCCCAGACTAGCAAGTTGCCCGAGACCCCCCCCGACCAGCCATGAAACGGCGGCCTTTTTGCCCAGACCCCACCGGAAAGACCGCTCAAGTCAGTGGAGTACGGATGCCGTTGCTCGTCCTGGAGAGCTCTCGTCGCCACGGCTCTCCACCCCTTGTCCCTGTGAGGAGGCAACGCGAAGTCCTCGCGGGCCGCCCGAGCATGCTCCAGATGTTGTCGCAACGTGCAGTTTGTGCAGTTTTCCTGACAGGGACGGTGGGCTTGTGGGGGAGTGCCCTTCTCGACTCGGGCTAGGGGCCAGTAGAGTGGAGGAGGGGTTGTAGATTCATCGTCAGGAGCGGTCATCAAGCTCCCCCAAGTGACGGCCATCCCGCTCACGTCCACCCATCTGCCCACCACACAAGCAGCACCCGAGTCTCAGCATTGGCAAGGGTCGCCCTTGGATGGACAGTCAGTGGGAATCACACTGCACGCTAGGTGCGTGACACTCGCGAGGTGCGCCGCGCGAGCCAGGTGCGCCTCTCGCTTCAGATGCAACAGGCGCCCCCTGGACCCAAGCGTGCCAGGCGTGCCTGGTGCGCCAGATGCGCCGCTGGCTCCACTTCGCCAAGTGTGCCACGTGCGCAGCACGCGCAGAGTGTGCGAGATGTGCCAGTACAGCTGACAGCACGCATCGGGAAACACGTCGACCCCACACCATCCTTCCCAAAAGCCAACGCAAAGCGGCGGCTGGATGGTCAGAACGGTGTACGGTGCGTGCACCCGCAACTACCTCGCACATGATTGTGACAGGGCAAGTGGGCCCGTGCGCACACCGCAATGTGCGCCCCCCCCCCCCCCCACACACACACACACACCCCTCCCCCGATCACCTCGTAAAACAACGCCGCAAGGATGCGACGCGCTCGCGCATGTTCTCAGATGTTACCGCAACGTGCGCTGTGCATGAGCTTTTGACAGGGATGGTGGGCCTGCACACGCTGGACAATATGATACCTCCTCCGCCATCCCTGCCAAACAATGCAAAGTGTTGCCCGACCATCATCCAGATTTTGCTGCAAGGTGTATGTTGTATTGTTTTTGGCAGGGGGTGGCATTGAACATTGTCGGCATGAGCTCGAGCCCCAGCCCGAATTCGAAACCGACGCCGAGCCTGAATCCGAGCCCGAGCCCGACCCCGAGCCCGAGTCCGCGCCCAAGCCCACGCCCGCGCCCGATCTCAACACCCTGGAGCCGTCTCTGGCGGCGCCCCGGGACGCTCCGCGCCCCAGTGTCGAGGTGTTGAGACCGCTGGGACTACTTGGGTGGCATCTTAAGGCCAGCCGGGACCACCTGGGGTGGATGTCTGCGCGCAATCCGAAGCCTCATCGGATATGGACCTGTTCGCCGCTCTCGGGCGTTGCGGAAGCGGGGGGCGAGAAGGGGGGGGGGGTGAAGAAAGATGGTGCACCTCTTGTGAAGGGGCCCACAAGGGGCCCGAAAGGTGCACGTTCCTCCCCCCATGTTGATCGCCCCCCACTGAGCAACGCCCAGCGCTCGTGGCCTTCGCCCGACCCGGCTTCTTCCGGATTGGCGCGCAGAGAGCCCCTGGTCGGGGGCGGCCAAGATGGGGGCTGGCTGACCAGGGGGGGGGGATATGTCATGGCGGTGGCCTGATTTTATGGCCCCTCCTCTGAATTCAATGCGTCCCTTGGCCCCCCTCTGGGCCGCCGCCGCCGCCGCCGCCGCGCCGCCGCCGCGACGCCGCCGCGCCGCCGCCACGGCTCAAGCCGCGGCCGCCGCCCCCGGCCGTGGCCTCTGCCGCCGCGGCCACCCCCCCGTGCCCCTCGGCGGCTGCAGCAGGGGCGGCTGCCCCCAAGCGGAGAGTGCATTACTGGGCCTTCCTCTCCCTCCCCCCTCCTCCTCCCCCTCCTCCTCCTCCCCCCCCTTCCGTTCCCCATCCCCCTCTTTCTCCTCCTCTCCCTCCTCCTCTTCCTCTCCTCTTTTTCCTTTTCCTCATCCTCCTCCTCCTCCTCCTCCTCCTTCTCCTCCCTCTCCTCCTCCTCCTCCCCCCTTTATCCATTCTCCTCCTCTTCCTCCTCCTCCTCCTTCTCCTCCTCCTCCTCCTGCTCCTCCTCGCCCTCCTCTCGCTCCCCCTCCTCCCACAATGCCGCTTCTTTGGGAGGACACCAACCACCCAGCGAACCCCTCCTCCTCCTCCTCCTCCTCCTCCTCCTCCCTCCTCGTCCCTCCTCGTCCTCCTCCTCCTCCTCCTCCTCCTCCTCCTCCTCCTCCTCCTCCTCCTCTTCCTCCCCATTCCCCCTCCTCCTCCTGCCCCGTCACTGGGCAGGGGCTGTCTCGCTCTGTAGGCCTCCCAGGTGGGGCCCGAGCAGATATGGGGTCGGAGATCGCGCCGCCTGGCCGGCGCATCGCCGATACGGCTCGACGCGGTTGCCGATGCACCACCGATTTATCGGCGATGCGTCGCGACCCTTCGACCTCATCTATTCGGACCCCATCTAGCATCCAGGAGGCCTCTATTGATCAGAGGAGGACTCGATTTGGGAAGCGTGAGCCTCGAGCTTGCCAGAACTCGGGTTTGTTGACGTGTTTTGACAGGCCCGTCTTGAAGTTTGACGTTCCAGTTTCATGGAATGTCTGCAGCGGAAGCTCGCGCCTAATCTCAGACTGGGTATCGTCAGGCCAGCTCGAGCCCCCCGAACCTGAGTCTTACGTCTCCCCGAAAAGACATCTGTGCCGCTGCTCGTTTTGCAGAGCGCTCGTCACCACGGCGTCATTCTGCCCGAAGCTCTGGCCAGAATGCGCAGCGGGAGAGGTAAGGGAAGCAGCGGCATCTGTGTTGCGTTGTTCCCCCAACTGCACGTATCCAGGGCCTCTGACCGCCCACATATTTTCATGCGCCCCCCCGAGCGAACGGCCCCGCCATGCCCGCCCTCCTCGGCTGTCGCACCCCTCCTGTTTCCGCCGGGAGCTCCCCACTGACCCTCTCGTCCCTCCTCCTCTTCCTCCTCCTCCTCCTCCTCCCCCCCCTCCTCCTCCCCTCCTCCTCCCCCTCCTCCTCCTCCTCCTCCTCCTCCTCCTCCTCCTCCTCCTCCTCCTCCTCCTCCTCCTCCTCCTCCTCCTCCTCCCTCCTCCTCCTCCTCCTCCTCCTCCCCTCCTCCTCTCCTCCTCCTCCTCCTCCTCCTCCTCTCCTCCCCCCTCCTCCTCCCCCTCCTCCCCCCCCTCCTCCCCCTCCTCCCCCTCCTCCTCCTCCGCTCCCGCCCCTTCGAGCTGAGCTGCCACGGCGCCAAAGGCGCCCCGCTCAGCCGCGGCCGCCTCCCGCCTCTGGCGCCGCTGGCCGCGGCTTCCCTCGGTGGTCTTGGGCCGCCGCCGCCGCCGCCGCCGCCGCCGCCGCCGCCGCCGCCGTCGTCGTCGTCGTCGTCGTCGTCGTCGTCGTCGTCGTCGTCGTCGTCGTCGTCGTCGTCGTCGTCGTCGTCGTCGTCGTCGTCGTCGTCGTCGTCGTCTGGTCCTCCTGCCACCTCCTCGTTTCTGCGCTTCTCGCCCTCCTCGCCCTCATGTCCCTCCTCCACCCTCCTCCTCCTCCTCCTCCTCCTCCTCCTCCTCCTCCTCCTCCTCCTCCTCCTCCTTCGCGCCATCACTCTTGCGCCCCCTGACGGGCGGGCTTAATTCACAGTGGGCCAGTCTGCGTCCTGGTTGTCGCGTCTCGCGCAAATTTGCTGGGCCAGACGGGCGACTGGGCCCTCAAGCTACGATAACCAGGAGCAT